GGTAGGATATTAAGCCTGTCTATGTTAAGTCCGAGTGTCAGAACTATGACAGCTCATAAATAAGCTTAAAATATAACAGCTCATAAATATGACAGCTCATATATATTACAGCATGTAAATATGACACTTTATAATTGTTCCAGTTCATAAATATGCGGTGGATAAAAGTTGCAGTTGATAAATATTACAGTTTATATATATTGCAGTTTAGAATTTTCCAGTTTATAAACATTACAGTTTTTAAATATTGGTTTATAAACATTGCTGCTCATAAATGTCCCAGTACATTAAAAATGGCGGTTTATAAATATTGCAGTTGATTAATGTTCCAGTTTCAGGTTGCAGTGCCTCCTCCTGAATCCGGGCTGAATGAACCATCTTTGTTCTTAGTTTTAAATGCAGCGTTTGTGCTGAATGTTCGACACAGACTCATTTATTCATTTATTCATTTACTCGTTTATTCGTCCCTGTTCTTGTGTTATTCTAATTCAACAGAAAAACTGTTGCAATTGTTTAATTTTTCATAAAGAGGTGCCATTACTCTCGTTTTAGTTCCTGAGTTATTAATAAATAAATAAATAAATAAATAAATAAGTTCCTGTTAGTTACTGCAGATTTGAGGAACTGCACTTAAAGGGGGGAGGAGTTTCGATGACTGCTGTCATGAGTTTTTTTCCGATCAGTATTCTGACAAGCCCCGCCCTCCTGCGCCGCCATTGGCCAATGATTCACACTTGTGATCTGTCTGCAGTTCTCGAACGCTTCGTGTGAAGGTAGGCGGAGCTCCAGCGATCCAGAACCACTCGCGAGTACGAAGATTGGTGACCAATCCCAGAGCAGATGGGCGGGGCTTCCCGGAAACGGGTGGGAAAAGGAGAAAAACAATAACAGCGAGAGGATAAAACGAAACTCGGATCCGCTTCCTGTCAGACCGACAGTCCGCGCGACCAGCAATAACGCTGAGTTTGAACCCGCTCAGACTCGGTCAGCGTGTCTGAGCTTAACCCGCAGTGAGGGCTCGGACTCAGAGTCAGACTCACACTCGGTCAGCGCTCCTGAGAGGCTGAGATGTCCGAGCCGAGCGCGGAGGCGAAGCTGGAGCCCAAACAGGCCAGTAAGGAGGAGAAGGAGAGCGAGAACGTGGCCGAGAAATACTCCGCAATGACGGGGAGCAGAAACAGCGACGCGCCGCTCGGAGAGATTTCCGCTTCAAAAGCCGCCAAAAAGGTGAACAAACACACAAACAAGTGACAGATAAAGAAACAGAGCTTCATCAGTAAAGACTGATAAACTAACAGACTGGCGGTGATGGAGACGAGCAGACAAGTTACTGCTTGTTACAGTTTATACAGGAGTTTACAACACTATTACAGTTTATGCTTGAGTTTAGAACAGTTTATTACAGTTTACAATCAGTTTATAGCAGTTTATTACAGTTTTTATTAACGTTCATAAGTTTGTTACAGTTTGTATTGGAGCTTATAACACTATTACAGATTACATTAAAGTTTATAACAGTTTATAGCTGGTAGGTGCTGCAGTTAGTGGACAGTGCTGTAAAGTCCGGGTGATATGAAGCTTCTCTAAAGCAGGCGTGTCCAGTTCTGGTCCTGAAGAGCTTCAGTCCGGCTCAGTTTGTCCTGCAGAAACGTTCCTGGTGAAGCTGATCGTGACTGACTGAGGGGAATCAGGACTGGCTGAGATCTGAGCTGGACTGAAGTTCTGATCTGTAAATCATATTAATATTAATCAGTCTGTTATTACAGTGCAGAACATTTAACATCACCTCCCCTTTCCTGTCTCCTCCTATCTCCTCTCCTCTCCTCTCTGAACATATTCAGGTGTGGAACATGTTTGTTTGATGTTTGAAGGTTTTACTTTGATCTGTGTCGTTAGGCAGTGAAGGGCTGTGATTGGACGGTTGTGGATGTATGATGTTTAAAATTTCCACTTGTTCTACTTGGAATAATATTTTAAACACCGACTGGAATCGGTTGTTTAGATAACATACATGACTCAGAACACTGCAGCATTCTGGGTAAATGTTGCTGCTGGAAAACAGAAGAGCTGTGAAATTCCATGAAAAGTTTGTGTTTGGAGTTCAGCTGGAGTTCCTCAGGCTGTTTTGGGTGGAGAGCCGCGCTGAGGGCCACAGTGAGCGAGACCATTCATATGCAGCTTTCTTCTGTAGCACAAGATCTATTCTGCCAAATTAGCATTTCCAGAATGTGTGCTGATCCCGAATGAGCGTCACTGAGGAAGACAACGTCAGGAAAGACTTCCCAAGAACATGAGGAGGAACCACTGAAAGGAGTTACTGTCATCATTATAATTACAGATTTAAAAGTGTACATTAAATGTGTGGAATGTACAAATAAAACAGATGTAATCAGATCAGATGGAGGAAATATTCGTCAGAGAACAGTGACCATGGTCGGTTTTGGGGACTGAATGAGTTGAGATTGTATGCAGTGTTAATCTGAGCTGACGGCAGGTTTAGGAGATGAAGCTGAAGGTTGGAAGGTCGTGCAGGAGTCGTGATTAGGATTCGTATCAAAGATAAGACTGAGAGAAAGTTTAATGTTAAAGAAACAGTAACCAGTAAATGAAAGTGAAAAGTGGATGATTTTGAGGAGATCTGTGAAGTTTAGCCCTCTGGGCTCCACAAACTCACCCGCACAGCAAATTCTCTGTCTCTGTATCAGTTTCTTTGTCTTTGTGATGATCCAGAAACTGACCAAAGGACACTCAGGAAATCACTAAGGACTGACCATCACGCTGGGATTGGAAAGTAGTGATAAGAACATTTATCTACTATTTTATTCACACATTACACGACTTTTGTGAACCTAAGACTTTAATAAAGCACCATAACAATTTGTCCACATCAGTAAAGCTGTTTCCAGATAAGATATTAAGAATTTCTAAAACCAGATTTCAACTTTTCAGCTTTAGAATTATCTCTGTTCTCCAGGTCTCATTACAGAGAGCTGAGACTGTTCTGAACACTGTGATATGAAGCCTGTGGGTATCATTTTCTAAGCAAGTGTGTTTAAAGGCAACTTTAAAAAGATATGCAGAAATCAAGAAAATGCCCACAGACCAGAGGGTTAAACTGCTCCGCTGAATTAGGATGAAGGAATTAATTTGATATTGAAATTCACTGCAGCTACAGAACGTTTAGATACTGAATAAATAAGAAAGAGTATTTATCATTGTTATTGTGTGTGTGTGTGTGTGTGTGTGTGTGTGTGTGTGCAGCAGATCCAGTTTGTTGATGATAATCAGGAGTTCAGTCGTTTTCCCACCAAAACAGGCCGACGCTCGGTCTCCAGATCCATCTCGCAGTCCTCCACTGACAGCTACAGCTCAGGTACCCGATATACACCAAACACACGGTTTACAATACCGTTCACATTAAACACTGTACACTATGTACATCAGGGGTGGCATCACACCCCCAAAACTGGTGGATCACAAATTATTGTTTCAAAAAAAGAAAACATGAAAGAATTAGGACACTGACTAAAACCACCTTTAATGCTACACTAATAACATCTCTCATTAAATCTGTTCTTGAACATACATCATCTAAACCGCTTATCCTTCTGGGTCGCTGGAGCCTATCCCAGCTGTCATTGGGCGGAAGGCAGGATACACCCTGGACAGGTCGCCAGTCCATCGCAGGGCAGACAGACAGACATACACATTCACACCTAGGGGCAATTTAACATGTCGAATTGGTCTGACTGCATGTCTTTGGACTGTGGGAGGAAACCCACGCAGACACGGGGAGAACAGGCAGACTCCACACAGAAATGACTCTGGTCACCCGGCCGGGAATCGAACCCAGGCCATTCTTGCTGTGAGGCGACAGCGCTACCCACTGCGCCACCATGTTCTTGAACAGAGTCAGTGTTTGTTTTCAACCTTTTTTCTAAAGTTCACACCAGTTTAGCAGTGAAGCAGCGCTCGGTCGTTCTCACGTTCTCCACCATGAAGACAGAACAAACAGAAAAAAGTGGATCATAATCTTAGTAATACGTTGTTTGTCCATTTGAATGTGATCAGGTCACTGATGCTGGGCCAAAAACACGCTCTGTGATCAATGAGCCCAAATCAGACACAGATCTTCTGTGCTGTGTTATTGCTGGTCTTCTGTTCTGAGCAGCAGCTGGAGCTGCAGCAGTGATCTGAGCGTCTGTACAGAGAGACTGCTAAAGCAGCAGAACAGGCAGTGCAGCACTGATGTCACTGAGGAGAACGCTCTGGAGCTGAATTCACTCCTGAATGAACACAGTTCAGTTCTTCGGTGACCTGAATACGGTGGAGTGTTCGCACTGGTGATGTTACGTTCGCGAATACGTTGCGAACGTTATGTTCTTTTTATTTTTATCTCACAAACTGTCCTGAATCCCCTCCCACTCAACAGTGAGAACCAGCCGGTCACAGAGACAGACAGCATCGCGTTATTCAGCTCCTTAAAGACAGAGTGAGCAGGATCTGTCTGCTGTTTAAACACGCCATTCAAAGCAGGGGGAAAGAGAGGAGCAGTGGTCGAGCGAGCCAGAGAGTGAATGAAGAGAGGGAGCAGAACAGAATCAGGGAAATAAAACTCTAAAATGTGTTTACAGTGCAGATCATTGGCATTAGGTCTCGTTATATGGGGGGGATGTTTAAGTCTGATCCTGATCCTAATCTCACCCTTTCATTATCCTACTGATTATTCCACAAATATACCTAAACCCCTAAAAAATAACAATGAGCTGTTCTTTTGAACAGCTCTCTGAAAGGAACAGAGCCAGAAGAGCTGGTTCGCTTCAAAGAGCCGTTATCCTTATCACTAGTTCACATTTCAAAACGGACCGAACTAAAGAGAAAGTTCGACAGTTCTGCACCAACCGAGAGTCTGACAGAGATCTTAGCAGTAAGAAACACTCAAGCTGACAGAATCCACACAGTGTAGTAACGCAAGCTGTGGCCCAGTGCGTTAGTTTGTGTATCTCAGTAAAAACATTTTACCACTGAAAACTTTTCTCACTGAACACATCCTGGGTTTACTGTGTACACAGTGTCCCGCTGAACTGGAGATTCTGATTGGTCTGCGCTGAGTTTGACTCTGTTTGGTCAGCTCTCTGTGTAGTTTAGGAAAGCAGAGGTTTTGTTTTATGTAAATGTCCTGAACTCAGTCAGAAAGTGGTGGGTCGTCACCCCTGTACTTTAAAAAGTGGTGGCTTAAGTGGCCACTTACCCCCCCCCCCATTGGTTCTAGCAGCCTTGATATACATTATACATTACATTATTATGTACACTGTAAGCAATAAATGAATGCTATGAAAAGCACTTTATCAGGAACACCTGCTCATTCGATCACAGTGCATAAAATCATGCAGATATGGGCAGCAGCTTCAGGAAAAATGGGATCTCTGTGATTCTGACTGTGATTGTTGTCCAGACAGGCTGGTCTGAGTGTTTCTGTAGCTGCTGATCTCCTGGATTTTCACAGTCGGCGTCTCTAGAGTTACTCAGAATGGAGCGATAAAGAAAAACGATCTGTATGTAACATCAATCTGAACAGATCAGCTTCTAAACCGACCTGCATGTGCAAAAGAGCTACAACAGCAGACGACCTCGTCAGGTTCCACTTCTGTCAGCCGAGAACAGAAAGCTGAAGCTGCAGTGGACACAGGCTCACCAACACTGGACAGCTGAAGATGGAAAAACGTATCCTGGTCTGATGAGTCTGCATTTCTGATGAGGCTCACAGATAGTGGGGTCAGAATTTGAAACCAGCAGAATGAATCCATGGACCCAACCTGCCGTGTGTCAGCAGTCCGGGCTGGTGGAGGTGGTGTAATGGGGTGGGGGATGTTTTCTCAACACATTTTCGGGTTATTAATACCAGTCAATCATTGCTTGAACATCACAGCCTGTTTTTGCAGACCATGTTCATCCCTTCATGGCCACAATTTATCATCTTCTAACGGCTACTTCCAGCATAATGATGCACCATAAACATCATAAACATCACAGTGAGGAATCTGAATCCAGTGGATCACCTTTGGGATGTGTTGGAATGGGAGATTAGGTTAGTCATGAAAAGTCCTGAAAAATCTGCAGGAACTGCATGATGCAATCATGTCAGCATGAACCAGAACCTCAAAGGAATTCCCAATATTTGGTGGAACCCATGCCACGAAGAATTGAGGCTGTGGGAGAGGAAAGGGAAGCCCGATCCAGTATCAGTGTAGTGTTCCTAATAAAGTGCTCGCTGAGTGTAGATTCTAAATATATTACATACACTATATACACTTAATCTCACAGTCTGCTGCCAACATCTACAGCTCAGGTACACTACATACATCAAATACTACACTCTGTACACACTATATGCACATGCATATATATATAGGGGTGCAGGAAAAAAATCGATTCTTAGATGCATCGCGATGCGGACGTGAACGATTCTGAATCGATTCATAAATGTCAAAAATCGATTTTCTAAATATTTAATTTATAATGTGATGTTGACGGAACGCAAAAGGCGGAACTTAAAAGTGGGTAAGTGCAGCACCGGACAGTCTGTGGCGGCACATTACAAAAACGCCACTGATGAGTGAGAAATCCGACCGGCTCCCTCTGCATTAAAGCCAGGTTAGGTCAGGAGTCACAGGACAAATGATCAGAAGAGACATTCTGTCCTTTCAACAAAAATCAGACCAGCTTGGGAGCCACAACATTTAATGTCCAGTATGTCTCAGTATGAGCTGATGTCCTAATATAGACTAAACAATATAAACGAGAGTGCAGATCTACTTCCCTCTGCTTTAAGCTTCAGCTTTAGCCGCTTTCCTCCCTGCGGTCTGCGGAGTCGTTGCGAAACAGGGCTTTCTCGCTATGCTGCACACGACCCGTTTAGAAGATATTTCACTGACACATTTTTTTGGTTCAGATTGCTTCATCCTAATGGGAGTTACAACAGAATATTTGGGGCCTCTTTTGAGTGAATCTCCCAGTAGTTCACTTGCCACATCACTTCCATTTGATTTATTAATAAAAGATATTGGAAGTAAATTGATTATGGATCATTACAAATACAAAGTACCGAGTCCTCACACAGTGAGAAAATAGAAACGCTGTATAGAAAAAAAAGATGCATCGATAATCGTTTTATAATCGCATCACAGCCTCTGAATCGTAATCGAATCGAATCGTGAGGTGCCTAAAGATTCCCACCCCTAACATATATATGAATATATATAATACACTGCTCAAAAAAATAAAGGGAACACTCAAATAACACATTCTAGATCTGAATGAATGAAATATTCTCATTGAATACTTTGTTCTGTACAAAGTTGAATGTGCTGACAACAAAATCACACAAAATCATCAATGGAAATCAAATTTATTAACCAATGACAGGCCTGGATTTGGAGTCACACACAAAATTAAAGTGGAAAAACACACTACAGGCTGATCCAACTTTGATGTAATGTCCTTAAAACAAGTCAAAACGAGGCTCAGTATTGTGTGTGGCCTCCACGTGCCTGTATGACCTCCCTACAACGCCTGGGCATGCTCCTGATGAGGTGGCGGATGGTCTCCTGAGGGATCTCCTCCCAGACCTGGACTAAAGCATCCGCCAACTCCTGGACAGTCTGTGGTGCAACGTGACGTTGGTGGATGGAGCGAGACATGATGTCCCAGATGTGCTCAATCAGATTCAGGTCTGGGGAACGGGCGGGCCAGTCCATAGCTTCAAGGCCTTCATCTTGCAGGAACTGCTGACACACTCCAGCCACATGAGGTCTAGCATTGTCCTGCATTAGGAGGAACCCAGGGCCAACCGCACCAGCAAATGGTCTCACAAGGGGTCTGAGGATCTCATCTCGGTACCTAATGGCAGTCAGGTTACCTCTGGCGAGCACATGGAGGGCTGTGCGGCCCTCCACAGAAATGCCACCCCACACCATTACTGACCCACTGCCAAACCGGTCATGCTGAAGGATGTTGCAGGCAGCAGATCGCTCTCCACGGCGTCTCCAGACTCTGTCACGTCTGTCACATGTGCTCAGTGTGAACCTGCTTTCATCTGTGAAGAGCACAGGGCGCCAGTGGCGAATTTGCCAATCCTGGTGTTCTCTGGCAAATGCCAAGCGTCCTGCACGGTGTTGGGCTGTGAGCACAACCCCATCTGTGGACGTCGGGCCCTCATACCATCCTCATGGAGTCGGTTTCTAACCGTTTGTGCAGACACATGCACATTTGTGGCCTGCTGGAGATCATTTTGCAGGGCTCTGGCAGTGCTCCTCCTGTTCCTCCTTGCACAAAGGCGGAGGTAGCGGTCCTGCTGCTGGGTTGTTGCCCTCCTTCGGCCTCCTCCACGTCTCCTGGTGTACTGGCCTGTCTCCTGGTAGCGCCTCCAGGCTCTGGACACCACACTGACAGACACAGCAAACCTTCTTGCCACAGCTCGCATTGATGTGCCATCCTGGATGAGCTGCACTAACTGAGCCACTTGTGTGGGTTGTAGAGTCCGTCTCATGCTACCACGAGTGTGAAAGCACCACCAACATTCAAAAGTGACCAAAACATCAGCCAGAAAGCATCGGTACTGAGACCACCTGCAGAACCACTCCTTTATTGAGTGTGTCTTGCTAATCGCCAATGATTTCCACCTGTTGTCTATTCCATTTGCACAACAGCATGTGAAATTGATTGTCAATCAGTGTTGCTTCCTAAGTGGACAGTTTGATTTCACAGAAGTTTGATTTACTTGGAGTTATATTGTGTTGTTTAAGTGTTCCCTTTATTTTTTTGAGCAGTGTGTATATATATATATATATATATATAATCGTTGTTGTCTGAACAAAATCCTGTATCTCCATTTTTGTTATTTTTCAGTTTGTGACATAATTTGAAAATAGCTGTTGGTCTTTACACTGTGTGTAAATTTCTGATGAGTGGACCAAAAGAAAGACCAGAAATACTTCGGAAAAAGTCTGATTCCATTGACGTACATTAAATTTTTTCTTTTCCTGTAAAGTTACCGTTTTGGAGATACAAGGTTTTGTTCCAACAACAGCGACGTGTATATACATGTGTGTGTGTGTATATATATATATATATATATATTTACACACACATATATAAAAATGTATATACACGTATATGTGTGTGTGTGTGTGTGTTTGTGATGTTCATATATATATATATATATATATATGCACATACGTGTATATATACGACCTGTCTGGGGTGTATCCTGCCTTCCACACGATGACTGCTGGGATAGGCTCCAGCTCCCCCCATGACCCAGAAGGATAAGCCGCTTGGAAGATGTGTGTGTGGGTGTGTGTGTGTGTGTGTGTGTTTATATATACGTATATATTATATCTCTCTCTCTCTGTCTGCAGCCGCCTCGTACACTGATAGCTCTGATGATGACGAGTCTCCGCGGGACCGAGTGCAGCTGAACTCCGGAGGCAGCAGCGACTTCTGCGTCAAAAACATCAAACAGGCGGATTTCGGACGCAGAGAGATCGAGATCGCAGAGCAAGGTGGAGCGAGCAGACCCCCTGAACAAATCCACAGAGGCAGATTTAATCTCTCTGAACTAGAGTCGCTGAGGTAGTTCTAGCTAAATTACAGCCGTGCGCTCAGTGTGATCAATGGAAATCGGCCTAATTCTGCCCTGCATGCTTTTGTTGGTGTTTTCTGTTGAACTTTTAGTATATTTCTGCAGAATTCTGCATGCAGGGACTCTGTGGGATGCTTGTCCCATCTAGTGTAGTCGTGCGTACTGAGTGGACCCATACCTCACTTCCATATAGCGCAATGGGCGCAATTACACTATCAAAAACTTTACACCAGATTTTAGTTGGGATGTCTGTTTTGTGGAATTGTCTCCTGATGGTGTAGAGAGTCTCCACGCTTTCTCTTTCAGTGCATTCACTCCCAGATCAAAGTTTCCTGAGGCACTGATGTTCAGTTGTAG